AAGAAATATCGAGAAGAATTAGTATTAAATGATTCGTCGCGCAAATTAAATTAATTTCTCACGCGATTAAGTTGTGAAAAATATAATGCTTAAAAAAATTGACCATTGTGTAAAAAGTAGAACGTTTATTTTATTTTTTAGTTTCATTATTTTTTAATTACTTTAATTTCACATATATGTATATATATACCAAAAATGTCACGGACGTTTTCACTGTTTCTTTCTATAATATAGTAAAAATTTGTATTTTTAATGATAATTGATACGCTTGTACATAAAGTGAAAATTACCGCGTGACAGTGATAATCCTAGGATAGATCTTTTGCCATCTGATAACCTGACGATTTTCTTCATCGTGACGAATTTGGAGGGTGAGGGACGCTGAGCTAGAACACGCCTATATTTTGACATGCGCGTATGAATGGGGGGGCGTGTCGTTGATACGGGCGTCCGCTGGGAAGGAGAGGGGAGGGACTTTCCCTCCCTGCAATCACGCGAGTATAACAAAGTTCAGAATTTATCTGTCTTATTTCTTTTACAAATAATAATTATATTTATCACATGCGAGAGAGTTAAAATACACCACAAATACATAAAGTTTGGACATTTTCTCCTTGTGGTAGTTCATATTAAAAAAATTTAAATCATGTCCCTTTCTGGAAAAAATCTTACAAACTTCTTCGATCGTCAGTTTTTAGCGCATGCCGTATATTCACGTCATATACATACCCATACAGGGTTTTACAATCGGCCCAGTGCTGGGCCAGTATTGGTTGTCGCAGTTCAGGTAATGGTGCAGTATTGGAAATACTACTGGCGCAGTACTGGCTAAGTATCGGATGATAACTTGGGTCCAATACTGGAACATAGTACTGGCCCAGCCGTCGTGAGCCAGTACTGCCCCAGTATAGATACAACGATCGGCCAGTACTGAGCCCCGAGTAGAAATTGAAACTCATATCTGTCTAGTCAGATAGAAAAGTTGTATCTTACATAGTACGTGTCTAATTTTTTTAGATACGTATTAGCCAGAAATGTAACGCTCACTTCTCCTAGTGGTAAAAATAATGGTACAAAATAAATTAGCTAATAGCTAGACAGAAAGAACTAACTAATAACTATCTAGCCTAACTATATAATGACTAAAATGCAAATAAAATAAAAAATTTATTTATTTTTTTTATCAGAGGTAGTTTTTTCCGATTCCTAGATAGTATCTTTAACTCAGAATTCTGTATCAGAAGTATCCTACTTACTAGCTAGTTTTTTAGTCACAATTTCTATTTTACTTTTTTCTTCTTAAGAGAACGCCAATTAACATATACATATATATTATAACTTTTTCTAACAATTAAATTCTTAACTTACAATTTTGTTGAAATTGTGCTCGGAAAAAATCGCTTTCAACTGGTAGGATTTGAACCTAGGACCCTTGATGTTTGAGTTGTTCGTCTTACGCACTACGCCACTGCTTCATTTTTGATAGTAATATTTTGTATTGTCTACATATGTTGCGCACATCACAGTTATATAATTTTTTAATAATATAATTTTAATAATTTTTCCTACTAAAAGAAATAAGTAATTCTTTGTTTTGAATGATAAATTATATTTTTCCATATTTTTATGTTAATGTTTATTTAAAACTGTGATTTAAAATTACATCTATTTTTATCTAAATTCATTTATTTACAATCTCTTTCTATATGTGTGCAAAGTTTTATTAAATTCAGTATTTTGAAATTTGCAAAATTTCTTTACAAGTCGTTTGTCAGTGATGGCCCAGCACTGGCTGATAGAACTTTGGCCGTTAGTTGACAGCCGTAGCACTGGCCAAGCGTTGATCTTCATCGTAACGCCGGATTTATCTATATAGATAAACCGCCGGTCATTTGTCAGTAATGGCCCAGCACTGGCTGATAGAACTTTGGCCGTTAGTTGACAGCCAAAGCAATGGCCAAGCGTTGGTCTTTATCCTAACGCCGGATTTGTCTATATATGTAGACAACCAGTAACTTGCCAGTGATGGCCCAGCATTGGTTGACAGAACTTTGGCCGTCAGTTGGCAGCCGTAGCAGTAGTATATGGGCAGCTATGGGGCGTCAAAACAAACCCCCACCACTCTCCCCGGCGGCGCCGCAACAAACCCCCTCCAGCCCCCCCTGGCGGGGTCAGCGGGTGGTCCCAGACGCGTGGGAGGAGGAAGGGCCTAGACGTTGCTGGAGGGTAGGTCTTGCTCTGATTGGCTGACGCTTGAGTGGGAGGGAAATTATTTCGTCAAGCGGAGCGATTTGATTGGCCCCTCTTAGCAGCCCAAGCGTTTTGATTGGCCCCCCGTAGCAGCCCAAGCGTTTTGATTGGGCCTCCCGTAGCAGCCCAAGCGTTTTGACTGGGCCCCCGTAGCTACCCAAGCGAAGGTTGCAGAGAATGAGAAATTTTTGGAGGCTACCGCGGCGGGTGGTCTAAAGACAAAAAAGTTCTATTTATGAGAAGTCCCTGGAGCTTGCTTATTTTCCGA